GGGCCCAGCCACACCGCTTCTGTCAGGGTCGTGCAATGGAGAGAGGGGTTCTGGGCACCCACACTCCTCGTGCCCCCAGTACAGCAGCCACCCCCAGGGAACGGACTTTAGAGACTTTCTGTGGGGCTGGGCAGCTGGCACTAGAGGAGCCGGCCCCATGTGGGCGCTCTGGGGCTGGAGCGGCTGTTTGACAGTGGATGGGCTGGACAGGGGGTGGGTCCTGGGGCCAGGGGTAGGCAGAGGCCCTGGGGAGAAGGGGTGCAGGAGGCGTGGCCTCAGGGCAGAGCCCCGCCCAAAGAGAAGTAACATTCAATGCTGACGGGGGAGCAAAGGGGGTAACGCCCCAGGGCCTGGCGATTCCAAAGGGCTGGGGGTGCCACGGTGGTGCCAGTGGCCAGAGCCTGGGTCCTTTAAATGGACACCGGAGCGCTGCGCCGTGCGCTACAGGCAGCTCTGAGCATGCACCAGTGTGGGTGGCACGAAGGGCTGGCTGCCCTGGCCCCGCCCCTTCCGGGAGCCACGCCCCCACCTTGCCCATGACTGTCAGCGCAGCATGGCTATTGTTGGGCAGCCGCCCTGGGACGCGGAGCCAGCCTGGGACGCGGAGCCCCGTGGCCACTCCATGGGTGGGCAGGGGGCACCCAGCGGGCACGTAGCCCCGGCCCTGGTGCTCACCCGAGGCCTTGGCGGGGCAGGGCTGGCAGGGCTCCCCGAAGCCGTGGTCGGCGTTGGCGCAGCAGCATTCCGACTTGGTGACCGCGCCCGGGAAGGGGCGGGCGCAGGTGCCCTTTTTGATGGCCGGCCCTGGTGCTCACCCGAGGCCTTGGCGGGGCAGGGCTGGCAGGGCTCCCCGAAGCCGTGGTCGGCGTTGGCGCAGCAGCATTCCGACTTGGTGACCGCGCCCGGGAAGGGGCGGGCGCAGGTGCCCTTTTTGATGGCGCCGTAGCAGGTGCTGCGCACGTGGGTGTCCACGCACACCCGCCCGTCCACGCCGATGGCCAGCCCGCCCAGGCACTCGCAGCGGAAGGAGCCCCCCGTGTTAATTCCACA